CACTATACACTACACTATACACTACTACACTATACACTACACTATACTATACACTACTACACACTACTACACTACACTATACACTACTACACTACACTATACACTACTACACTACACTACTACACTATACACTACACTACTACACTATACACTACTACACTATACACTACACTATACACTACTACACTATACACTACTACACTATACACTACTACACTATACACTACTACACTACACTACTACACTACACTATACACTACTACACTATACACTACTACACTATACACTACACTATACACTACTACACTATACACTACACTATACACTGCTACACTACTACACTACACTATAAACTACTACACTACACTATACACTACTACACTACACTACTACACTATACACTACTACACTATACACTACTACACTACACACTACTACACACTACACTACTACACTACACTATACACTACACACTACACTACTACACTACACCATACACTATACACTACACACTACACTACTACACTATACACTACACACTACACTACTACACTATACACTACTACACTATACACTACTACACTATACACTACTACACTATACACTACTACACTACACTATACACTACTACACTATACACTACTACACTATACACTACACTACACTATACACTACTACACTATACACTACACTATACACTGCTACACTACTACACTACACTATAAACTACTACACTACACTATAAACTACTACACTACACTATACACTACTACACTACACTACTACACTACACTATACACTACTACACTATACACTACTACACTATACACTACTACACTACACTACTACACTATACACTACACTATACACTACTACACTATACACTACTACACTACACACTACTACACTATACACTACTACACTATACACTACCACACTATACACTACTACACTATACACTACTACACTATACACTACTACACTATACACTACTACACTATACACTACACTACTACACTACACTATACACTACACTATACACTACTACACTATACACTACACTATACACTACTACACTATACACTACTACACTATACACTACTACACTATACACTACTACACTATACACTACTACACTATACACTACTACACTATACACTACACTACTACACTACACTATACACTACACTATACACTACTACACTATACACTACACTATACACTACTACACTATACACTACTACACTACACACTACACTACTACACTACACTATACACTACTACACACTACACTACTACACTATACACTACTACACTATACACTACTACACTACTACACTATACACTACTACACTATACACTACTACACTATACACTACTACACTATACACTACTACACTATACACTACTACACTATACACTACTACACTATACACTACACTACACACTACTACACTACACACTACTACACTACACTATACACTACACACTACACCACTACACTACACCATACACTACACTACTACACTATACACTACACACTACACTACTACACTACACCATACACTATACACTACTACACTATACACTACTACACTATACACTACACTACACACTACTACACTACACACTACTACACTACACTATACACTACACACTACACCACTACACTACACCATACACTACACTACTACACTATACACTACACACTACACTACTACACTACACCATACACTATACACTACTACACTATACACTACTACACTTCTACACTACACTATACACCACCCCAGCACACCCCCCGACGACACCCCCGGTGCGTGCCCCCCCAGGGAGTCCTCCCCGCCGAGCGTCCCACATCATCATGGTGAGCGATGAGTCGGTCTCCCCGGTGCGGCGGCGGATCCCCGCCCGCAAGCCGCACTACCTCCTGTCGCCGCCGGGCCCGGCACGGCCGCCCCGGATCACCGCCGTCGCCGCCGCCGCCTCCTCGTCCACCTCCTCGTCCACCTCCTCGTCGGCGTCGGCGTCGTCCGGATCGACGTTGGCGGCTGTGCACGTAGCCCATCACCACCAGCAGCAGCAGCAGCAGGAGAAGCAGCATCAGCAGCAGCATCAGCAGCAGCAGCAGCAGCAGGAGAAGCATCAGCAGCAGCATCACCACCTGCAGCAGCAGCAGCAGGAGATGCAGCAGCAGCAGCAGCAGCAACAGCAGCAGCATCAGCAGCTGCAGGGGAAGCCACTGGGCAGGAGTCCAACTCAGCCACCTGAGCTGCACAGGAGCAGCGATCAGTCGCTGCTGCTGCATTGCGGTGGCGACGATGTCGTCGGTGGTGGTGTTGGTGGTGTCGGTGTTGGTGGTGTCGGTGTTGGTGGTGTCGGTGTCGGTGTTGGTGGTGGTGTTGGTGGTGGTGGTGGTGTTGGTGTTGTTGGTGTTGGTGGTGGTGTTGGTGTCTCCGTTGACGAGGGGATGGCCCAGTGCCTTGACTTGGTTGGGCTGCTCAATCACGATCAGCTGCATCATCATCATCATCATCAGCAGCTGCATCATCATCAGCTGCATCATCATCCTCCAACGGGCGACGAGGAGACCCCCCACCACCACGCTCCTGCCCCCCCCCACCAATCTCCGCCCCCCCACCAATCTCCGCCCCCCCACCAATCTCCCCCCACCACCACCACCACCGCCACCGCCGCCCACCACCACCATCCCCAGCCGGACTGCGAGCTCTCGGTGCTCGCCCCGTTCAGCTCGCCTGACCTGCGGCTGCTGAGCGTCGTGGCCATGTCCATCGGGGCCGGGGCCGGCGAGGCCCTCGCCCCGCCGCCGCCGCCGCCGCCGCTGCCGCGGGCCCCGGCGGGGGCGGTGTCCGTCGTTCCGGCCAGGTACCAGTTTGCGTTGGAAGAGCTGGCGGCGGACAGGGAGGACGACCCGGAGCGGCGCTCTCGGCCCGCGCCCCTCCCGCAAAGTCCGCCCGGGCGGCTTCCGTGCCACCACCCCGGCGGCCTTCCCTCCGGTCGCCACGGCGACGAGGCGGCGTCGGCGCTGGCCGACCCGGAGCTCCACCTCCTGCTGGACGAGATGCTGCAGCAGCAGCTGCTGCAGCAGCAGCAACAGCAGCAGCAGCTGCAGCAGCAGCAGCAGCAACAGCAGCTGCAGCAGCAACAACAACAGCAACAGCTGCAGCAGCAACAGCAACAGCAGCAACAGCAGCAGCAACAGCAGCAGCTGCAGCAGCAACAGCAGCAGCAACAGCAGCAACAACAGCAGCAGCAGCTGCAGCAGCAGCAGCAGCAGAGTGACGACGCCGCTGTTGATGAGCCGCCGTCGGCGCTGCCGGCGGCGGCTCGGACTCCTTCCTCGGACGGCGGCGGCGGCGGCCGCTACTCCGCTTTGCCGCGCCTCGTCTTCTCCGACGTCGTCGGCGATCTTCGCTCGCCGCCACCGCCACCGCTACTGGCGGCGGCGGCGGTAGCGGCGGCGGAGGAGGAGGAGGAGGTGGTGGTGGTGCGGATCGGCGGGCAGGTGGACGGCGCGGACGACGGGGACGGGGACGGGGACGGCGAGGCGGCGGTCGCGAGCGGCAGCGGCGCCGGCGCGGCGGCGACGGCCGCCGCGGGAGTCGAGCGGCTTGCGGCCGGGACGACGGCCGGCGGCAAGGCCTCCGGCGGCGACCCCGGCGGAGCCGACGGCGGCGACGGTGCCACCGCTGCCGCGAGCGACGCCGCCACCGCCGGTGGTTGCGGTGTTGCCGGCGACGCTGCCGCGGCTGCTTCTGGTGGTGGCGGCGGCGGCTGCGGCGATGCCGCCTCCGCCGCCTCCACCGCCACCGCCGCCTCCACCGCCTCCACCGCCTCCACCGCCTCCACCGCCTCCACCGCCTCCACCGCCTCCACCGCCTCCACCGCCGCCACCTCCCTCCACCTGCCGGTCTCCATTGCCCAGCTGCTGCTCACGGACCCCAAACTTCAGTCGAGCTTCGTGGACCTCCGGCGAGCCGCGGGTGGCGCCGGCGGCGCCGCCGGCAGACGCCAGCTGCGCCGGACCCACAGCCTCGACTGCCGCGCCGGCGCCGGCGCCCGTGGCGGCGGCGGCGGCGGCGGCGGCGGCGTGGGGAGACCGGAGCCGATCGGTCGCCGTAGTCGGAGCGTTCCGGCGGTCGCGGCCGTTGCCGTGGCGAGTTGCCACGGCGACGCCCTCCACGAGGAGGAGGAGGAGGAGGAGGAGGGGGGGCCAGGGGACAATTCCGCAGCGACCGCGGGGACTGCGGCTACTCCGGTTACCGCGGGGACCGTGGCAACTTCGGTTACCGTGGCGGATGCAGGGCCTTCAAGGACCGTAGAAACCTCGGGGACCGTGGCGACTGCGGGGACTGCGGCTACTCCGGTTGCCGTGGCGACTGCGGGGACTGCGGCTACTCCGATTACCGCGGTGGCCACGGGGACCGCGGCAACTTCGGGGGCCGTGGTTACCGTGGCGACCGTGCCGACTCCGGTCACCGCGCCGCCGCCGATCTTCACGCTCTCCTCGTCGCCCCTGGCCTGGTCGTTCGCGCCGCCGCCGTTCCCACCGGCGGTGGCGGCGGCGGCGCTCCCCAACGGCCACGGAGCTCCGCCGGCGACCGCGGCACCCTCGGCGGCTCCTCCGGCGCCGCCCGACGCTTCGCCGCCGCCCCCTAACCCCCCCCCCCCGCGTCTTCCTCGTCTCGGCCGACGGCTCCGGCGCCGGCCTCGTGTCCCCGGCGCCGGCGCCGGCGGCGGCGGCGGCGGCGGCGGCGTTCCTCGGCAAGCTGCCCGACGGCACCGCCCAGCCGGCGCCCCACGCCATGCCGCAGCCGCTGGTGCTGTTCGGCAGCCAGCACCGGCAGTACCACCAGCACCAGCTGCTCGCCGGCGTGGGCGGCGCCGGCAACTCCAACGTCACCATCATCTCTCTGCCTTCGTCCGTGATGCACCACCACCACCAGCACCAGCAGCAGCAGCAGCAGCAGCAGCTGATGATGTCGCCCGAGGCCGCCGCTGGCTTCGACCGCGCCCTGCCCGCCGCCGGCGGTGCCGGCAACTTCATGCTGCGCTTCCTGGCGGTCGGCTCGCCGCTCAACTTCGCGCCTCCGCCGCCTCCGCCGCCTCCGCCGCCTCCCGGCGCTGCCAAAATCCTGCAGCAGCAGCAGCAGCAGCAGCGGCGGCAGTTTGCCGCGATGCCGGGGCTCTGCGGCGGCGTCGGCGGCGCCAGGCCGGCGCTTCCTCCGCCGTCGCCGGATCCGTCGCGGAATTCCTGCGGATTCGGCGGCAGCGGCGCCGGCGCCGCCACCACCACGGTGGCCGCCACCGCCATCGCCACGACGACGGCATCCGGCGTCGGCACAGTCACCGCCGCCGCCGCCGCCGCAGCGGCAGCGGCAGGAAGTGGGCGGCTTGCGCCCGTCCCTGGCGGCGGCGCCGCCTCTACCGCCTCTACCGCCTCCTCGCTGTGGAACCCGTTTGGCGCGGCGCTGGCAGCCGCCGCCACCGCCACCACGACCACCGCCACGGCCGCCGCCGCCAGGCGGCCGAAGCCCAAACAACAACCACAGCAGCAGCAGCAGCCCCCGCCGACGCAGCAGCAGCAGCAGCAGCAGCCACAGCAGCAGCAGCAGCAGCAGCCACAGCAGCCGCAAAAGGCGGCAAGCGCCAGGGCGCCGACGCCGGTGCCGTTGCCGGCGCCGTCGTTTGCCCCGGCGGGCAAGCTCGCGGAGAGCTGCCAACTGGGCCTGGAGTCGCTGTGCCGGGTCTTCCGCGCCGGCGGTGAATTCCTGCCGTCGCCCTCGCAGCAGCCGCAGCCGCAGCAGCCACAGCAGCAGCCTCCTGCTGCTGTGGCTGCTCCGGCTGCTCCGGCTGCTCAGGCTGCTCAGGCTGCTCAGGCTGCTCAGGCTGCTGCTGCTGTGGCTGCTCAGGCTGCTGCTGCTCAGGCTGCTGCTCAGGCTGCTGCTGCTGCTGCTGCGGGCGGCGACGCGAGGGGCAGGAAGAGGTGGAGGGACGGCGGCTCTGCTGGCGCCCGCGGCGGTGCCGGTGATGAGTCTGGAGCAGCGGGAACGCAGCACGGGTGAGAGAGGGGATGTGTGGTTGTGTGTGTGTGTGTGTGCGTGTGTGTGTGGGGAGCGATAGTGTAGCGGTTAGCGCGCTGCACTATGAACCTGGCGACCCGGGTTCGATTCCCGCTCACGGCCAACACCAGTGACGATTATCTGAACCGGTCCCGGGCCTCCCCTAGGTCGACTCAGCCTCAAATGAGTACCTGGTGCGGTGTGTAAACATTGCCACTGGGGAGACAAAGGCGGTCGGGCGTGGTGCTGGCCACCCACCCCCTCGTGTACCGTTCTGGCCTTCATAGGTGCTCGCTAACAGCACTTGCCCCTACAGTCTGTTAAGGCTATATGGGGGATCTTTGTTTGATCTTTGTGTGTGTGCCTGCCTCTGCGTGTGCGTAGGTGTCCGTGTGTTGGTTGTGCGTGTCTGCGCGGGTGCCTCCGGACGGGTGCGAGTAGCTTGGCGGAAAGCCGCGGGAAAAAAAATATCCGGCTAAGCTTGTGCCGGGGGCCCCGGGGGGAGCCGCCGTCCGTGACGTCTCCTGGCCAAGCCCCCAAATTTGGCGGAGCCAGGAGAAGACTGATTCTCGTACCCTCGGGGTTCCTCCACAAACGGCAAAAAAGCCACCGCGGGTGGCCACGTGGAATGTTCGAACGCTCGCTGCGGTACGAGAGGCTGCCACTCCTCTGTCGGGAGCTGGACCGGTACCGCCCGGATCTCTGCGGCATTCAGGAGGTCCGGTGGACCGGTTCTCGTGTGTGTGGATGTGGAGGAGAGGCTGCCCACTCCTCTGTCGGGAGCTGGACCGGTACCGCCCGGATCTCTGCGGCATTCAGGAGGTCCGGTGGACCGGTTCTCGTGTGTGTGGATGTGGAGGAGAGGCTGCCACTCCTCTGTCGGGAGCTGGACCGGTACCACCTGGATCTCTGCGGCATTCAGGAGGTCCAGTGGACCGGCTGTGGCTCCTGTCACCATGAGGGGTGGACAGTCCTCTACTCGGGGCGGCAGACTGCCAAACAACAGGGTGTGGGTCTTCTTTTGAACAAAAGAATGAAGGGGGCGTGGGAGCGTGGCGGTGAGGTGTGTGGGAAGCTGTAAGCCCCAGGCTGCTGTGTCGCTGTGTGTCTTAGTCTCCTCTCATGTGGTGGTGGTGCTGACAATGATGACGATGTTGCTGACGATGATGACGATGTTGCTGACGATGTTGTTGACGATGATGACGATGTTGCTGACGATGTTGCTGATGATGATGACGATGTTGCCGATGACGATGTTGCAGCAACAAGCGGCTGCGGATTAAGATGCCATCGTTCAATCTGTTGGAGTTTGGGGACACGGGAGATGAGGCAGAGGAGGAGGAAGATGACGATGACGACGATGATGACGACGATGAGAGGGTGGAGAGGTGAAGTTCTGATCCACCACCTCCTCTGTTACCACCACCACTGTTACCACCACCACCACTACCACCACCACTACCACCACCTCTATCACCACCACCTCTATCACCACCACTACCACCACCACTACCAACTCCACCACCACCACTACCAACTCCACCACCACCACTACCACCACTACCAACTCCATCACCACCACCTTCGACTACCACCACCACCACTACCACCACCACTATCACCACCACCACTATCACCACTTCTATCACCACCACCACCACTATCACCACCACTACCACCTCCACCTCCTCCACCACCACTACCACCACCACCTCCTCCACCACTACCAACTCCACCACCACCACTACCAACTCCACCACCACCACTACCACCACTACCAACTCCATCACCACCACCACTTCGACTACCACCACCACTACTGCCACCACTACCATCACCACCACCAATCTCAACCACCATTCTCCACCACCATCACCACCATCACCACCATCACCACCACTACCATCACCACCACTACCAACATGTACAGTCTTTGTGCATCTATTTTAACTGTACACATTCAGCACTGTCCACTGGTACTGTACACGTTCAGTATTGTCCATTGGTTTACTGTACACACCCAGTAGTGTGCCTTAGTTGTACTGGCTGTACTGTGCATACAGTACTGCGCAGACAGTTGCACTGTACACGGTGTTTTTCATTGGTCGTACTGCACACCACACCGTGCATTGTCGGCTGTACTGTACGCAAGTATCGCGTCGCCTGTACTGTACGCAGCACCCAAGGGTAAGTGGACGGGGGCTAGAGATGGAACTTGCAAGTGATTCATCTTCTTTGGTTCTTTCGGTAAAGTCACCACGTAGAATGATAATAAAATAATAAATTGATAAAATAAAATAACACAATAATATTCTCACGACGTTTCGGCCACAACACAAGCGGCCTTCATCAGGTGAAGGGGGCGAGACTGTCTGGTAGGACAGCGCTGGAGTGAAAGAGCCACGTTCAGATCACGGCCTTTAAGCTGTGTGAGAGGAAACAAAGCGCCTTGACAAAGGAATTAGCATAGAATTTAGCATTGAAATGGCTGAATGATTAGCTTGTGACTGGTCACAGAAATAGCTATGTTAAAAGTTAAAGCATACACATCCGCAGAGGCACCCATTGTTAAAGGAATTAGCATAGAATTTAGCATTGAAATAGCTAAGTTAAGGCATACACATCCGCAGAGGCACCACTTGACAATGGAATTAGCATATAGTTTAGCATTGAAATGGCTGAATGATTAGCTTGTGACTGGTCACAGAAATAGCTATGTTAAAAGTTAAAGCATACACACCTGCATAGGCACCCATTGTTAAAGGCATTAGCATAGAATTTAGCATTGAAATAGCTAAGTTAAGGCATACACATCCGCAGAGGCACCCCTTGACAATGGAATTAGCATATAATTTAGCATTGAAATGGCTGAATGATTAGCTTGTGACTGGTCACAGAAATGGCTATGTTAAAAGTTAAAGCATACACACCCGCAGAGGCACCCATTGTTAAAGGGATTAGCATAGAATTTAGCATTGAAATAGCTAAGTTAAGGCATACACATCCGCAGAGGCACCCCTTGACAAGTGATTGCGTGATTGCGAGATCGCAGAGCGAGGCGTACGAGCCCCTTCTCAAGCCTGTGGCTGTATTTATTCCTGCCCGAGCGCTCCGCCTGCTGTACGTTGTTCACCTGAAGACGTTTGGCCCCGTGTGGCCATCGAAACGTCCAGGTGACTTCACCGACGGGCCCAGGGAGCGTAGTAGCCCTTGCGCGTTTGTGTGCATCAGGATGGGCGTGGTGAATCTGCCTGCCGCTGCCGCTGCAGCCACCATGGCCACCACCGCCACGATGATCTCCTCTTGCAACTTCAGCACCCGCGCTGAGGAGTTGGCGGCCTTGTGCACACGTGAGGCACCCACACGGACGCACAGACACACACACACAGACACGCACAGACACACATACACAGACACACACACAGACACAGACACACACAACAACAACAACCGCCATTCGCCACTAAGTGGCGGTGACGTCACCACGACGCTTGTGCCAGGCTATGTGCACCCTGAGGCCACGTGAAGTGTCGAACGCCCGCTGGCAGGAGGTCACGGGGCAGACCCAGGTGCCACGGGTCGACTGACTGAGATGACTGGCTGATGCACCACCTGTGCCCCCTACTGTGCCAACCTGCTGTGCTTTAGCCACCCGGCGCTCCGCTCGCTGTTGTGAGCGTCGCTCCTCCGCCCTCCGTTGTTGTTGGAGGGCGACTGCCTCCAACTGCCCAGTAGCATCCTTCACGAGCCTCCTCCACAGAGGCCGATCTTGACACCGCTGGTACCAGTCATCGGCAAGTCCACTCAGCTCCACGTCCTCCTGTACCACATCACTCCATCTCTTCTCTAGCCCGTGCCGCGCCCGCTTAGCCCCCTCAATCCGGCCAAACAAAAGCTGTTTCGGCATGCGGTGGCTGGGCATGCGGGCTACATGACCCAGCCATCGCAGCCTTGCCTGCCGGAGGAGCTCACCGATGGGACCCTGCCCAGATCTTTCAAGGATTTGTGAGCTCCTCACACAATCCAGTCTGGTTAAACCCAGGATGGATCGTAGGCAGGCCAGCCTAAATGTTTCTAACCGGCGAAGATGTTCCATTAGGGGGGTCCACGTTTCGCAAGCGTAGAGAAGGGAGGGAATGACCGTGGCCGAGAAGACCTGAAGCTTAGTGCGGAGCGACAGACCAGGTAGCTTCCACACAGCGTTACGCAACCGATGAAAAGATATTGCCGCTCGACTGATTCGGAGTGAAACCTCTGCTGTTAAACTGGTGCCAGTCATAAGCACACTGCCCAGGTATGGGAAACTCTCCACTCTCTCCACAACTGCCCCATCACCGATTGGGAGTTGTGGGGGTGGAGTGTCCGATGGTACAAAATACCCAGGCAGGTGCTTGGTTTTGGTGGGGCTGATGGTAAGGCCCCACCTCTTAGTGGCACGCTCCAGTCTCAGCAGCAGCGTCTCCAACTCCTCCTCTGACTGAGCAGCTATTACCAAGTCATCAGCATACATAACGTGGTTGAGCAATAGGGAGCCATCCCTTGACCGCACCCGGGCATCGATTAGCCTCCCATTATATCTGTACCATATGGAGATTCCCCCGGTACAGCTATTGAAGGCTTCACGAACTACGTGGTCAAAATAGATGTTAAATAATGTGGGAGCCAGAGGACATCCCTGTCGCACCCCAAGGTGTACAGGGAATGGCTCTGACTCCCGGCCACGTAGTTTTACCCGGGCCCGCTCACCATCATGAAGGTCCTTAATGATCGTGAGCAGAGGGTCAGGTACTCCAAAAGCACGAAGAACGACCCAGAGCCCAGGCCTACTGATGGTATCATAGGCCTTGACCAGGTCAATAAAGCAGAGATGTAGGTCTTGTTGGAATTCCCTACACCTCTGCTGTAGCAGACGGACAGAAAATATGGCATCTGTGCAGGACCGCCCTTTCCTGAAACCGCATTGGGGCTCCGCAAGCCTCTCCTCAGCGTGCCTGGCAAGGCGATGCTGAATAATCCTTGCCAGGACCTTTCCCGGCACACTGAGGAGTGAGATGCCCCTGTAGTTGTTACAGTCTGTGCGGTCCCCCTTCTTAAAAAGGGGGACCACCAGGGCATCCTTCCAATCCTGCGGAACCCGTCCAGTGGTCCAGACTGTTGTTATGATGTCATATAGGGCAGTCTGTGCACAAACGCCACCCTCCCTCAGCATTTCGCTTGGAAGATCATCTCTGCCCGCTGCCTTTCCTGGTCTCAGACTTCGAATCGCCTTCAATACTTCCTCAGCCGATGGCACCTCAGCCAGCCACTCACAGGGGGTGACTTCATCCAATATTTGAGGCACCGCAGCCTCAGCATGGTCATCCTCACTTTGTGCCACGATGTTTTCCTGGCTGAGGGATTTTCCCTCCCCCAGGACCTCACAGAAATGCTCAGCAAATCTGCGAACCTGTTCCTGGGGGTCGGAAATTGGATCGCCGTTTTTTCCCCTAATGATGGTAATAGGTGTGGCGCTGCAGGTTACTTTTTTGATGGAGTTAAATAGAGATTTGTGATCACGGGCCACTGAGGCAGACTCCATCTCCTCAGCAACCCGCGACCACCACCCATCCTTGCAGCGCCTCACGGCTCTCCGAACCTCCGAGCGAAGGCTGCGGTAAGCCTCCTCATTCTCTGACGTGGGACTCTGTAGCCGATGACAGTGGGCCTGTCGCTTTTTCTCAACCATCGTGAACAACTCCTCTGTCATCCAGGGTGTCTGGGGAGGTCTGGACCGCGTACCCAAAGCAGCCATTGCAGCTGCATGAGTCACAGTCCTAAACCTCGCCCATTTACCCTCGACATCAGGAGGAGTCGGGGACGATGCCAATCCCAGCCGCAAGCGATGATGAAATTCTCGCTTGCAACTTTCATCAGATAACTGAGACCAGGCCACTTTAGGTTGGAATGGGGTCCTGGGTGTACACCCACCACCGGAGTGGAAGAATGGCAGGCGCATCTTACAGATGACTAGTCGATGGTCAGAGGGCAGATCAGCTCCACGGTAGGTCCTGGTGTCAAGGACATGGGCTCGCATTCGCTGGTCCGTCACTATGTAGTCCAGCAGATGTTCTTGCTTGGACCCGGCATGCATCCATGATGTTGTGTGGATGCGCCGATGCCGGAACAGCGTGTTGGTAATTACAAGCCCATGGGCTGCACAAAAATCTAGCAGCCTCCTACCGTTGTTATTGAGCTGATCTGGCCCATGCCCTCCAATCACTCCAGGCCAGGTGCCAGTATCATGACCAACTCGGGCATTGAAGTCACCCAACATGATGACTCTATCCCGAGGGGCCACTTTAGCCAGCACCTGTGACAGGAGGTCATAGAAGGCATCTGACTCATCGGCTTTGCCTGCATCCCTCCACGGATGTTCATCTTCGGTGGGGGCATAAGTAACCACGACCACCATTCCTCGCCTCCTGTTGATGGGAAGGCGAGCCCAAAGTAGCCTGGGGCTTACAGCTTCCCACACCTCACCGCCACGCTCCCACGCCCCCTTCATTCTTTTGTTCAAAAGAAGACCCACACCCTGTTGTTTGGCAGTCTGCTGCCCCGAGTAGAGGACTGTCCACCCCTCATGGTGGCAGGAGCCAGAGCCGGTCCACCGGACCTCCTGAATGCCGCATAGATCCAGGCGGTACCGGTCCAGCTCCCGACAGAGGAGTGGCAGCCTCTCCTCGGCAGTGAGCGTTCGAACATTCCACGTGGCCAACCGTAGTGGCTTTTCGTTGTTTCTGGAGTAGCCCCGAGGGTAGGTATTCAATCTCCTGGCTCCGCCAATTGGGGTTTGGCCAGGAGACGTCATAGACGCCTGGCCCCCCGGGGCCTCCGGCACAAGCTTAGTTGTTACATATTTAAGTTTAATTCGTAGTTTCGTGGTAATTAATTGAAGGTGGAGGGGTTACCAGCCCCTCGCACCCGTCCAGAGCCCCCGTTTAGCCCCTGTGGTGGATACATATGCCATGAGGGGAGGAGCCAATCAAAATTGGATCTCCCCCCACAGCGCTGTCCACGACAGAGTTGCCCGTCCGGCACCGCGAGGAGGTAGGGGGTTGTTTTGCCGGACAGACACACACACACAGACACACACACACACACATGCACAGACACACGCACAGACACACACAGACACACGCACAGACACACACAGACACATACACAGACACACACAGACACAGACACACAGACACACACACACAGACACACACACACACACATGCACAGACACACGCACAGACACACAGACACACACACAGACACAAACACACGCACAGACACGCACACACACAGACACACACACACAGACACACACATTGATACATACCCATTGATACACAGACACACACACATACACACACAGACACACACAGACACAACAACAACCGCCATTCGCCACTAAGTGGCGGTGACGTCACCACAACGCTTGTGCCAGGCTATGTGCACCCTGAGGCCACGTGAAGTGTCGAACGCCCGCTGGCAGGAGGTCACGGGGCAGACCCAGGTGCCACGGGTCGACTGACTGAGATGACTGGCTGATGCACCACCTGTGCCCCCTACTGTGCCAACCTGCTGTGCTTCAGCCACCCGGTGCTCCGCTCGTTGTTCTGAGCGTCGCTCCTCCGCCCTCCGTTGTTGTTGGAGGGCGACTGCCTCCAACTGCCCAGTAGCATCCTTCACGAGCCTCCTCCACAGAGGCCGATCTTGACACCGCTGGTACCAGTCATCAGCAAGTCCACTCAGCTCCACGTCCTGTACCACATCACTCCATCTCTTCTCTAGCCCGTGCCGCACCCGTTTAGCCCCCTCGATCCGGCCGAACAAAAGCTGTTTCGGCATGCGGTGGCTGGGCATGTGGGCTACATGACCCAGCCATCGCAGCCTTGCCCGCCGGAGGAGCTCACCGATGGGACCCTGCCCAGATCTTTCAAGGATTTGTGAGCTCCTCACACAATCCAGTCTGGTTAAACCCAGGATGGATCGTAGGCAGGCCAGCCTAAATGTTTCTAACCGAGGGAATGACCGTGACCGAGAAGACCTGAAGCTTAGTGCAGAGCGACAGACCAGGTAGCTTCCACACAGCGTTACGCAACCGATGAAAAGATATTGCCGCTCGACTGATTGGGAGTGAAACCTCTGCTGTTAAACTGGAGCCGTTCATAAGCACACTGCCCAGGTATGGGAAACTCTCCACTCTCTCCACAACTGCCCCATCACCGATTGGGAGTTGTGGGGGTGGAGTGTCCGATGGTACCAAATACCCAGGCAGGTGCTTAGTTTTGGTGGGGCTAATGGTAAGGCCCCGCCTCTTAGTGGCACGCTTCAGTCTCAGCAGCAGCGTCTCCAACTCCTCCTCTGAATGAGCAGCTATTACCAAATCATCAGCATACATAACGTGGTTGAGCAATAGGGAGCCATCCCTTGACCGCACCCGGGCATCGATCAGCCTCCCATTGTATCTGTGTAGTGCCGTGAATTCACTCGGACGACAACTGTCTCTTTTTCCGCCGTCACTTTTATTCCATTGTTCCGTACACACAGCGATTCTCTCCGTGCTCCGCCAACTCGGACACTCCGATTTACTTCAGCATCGTCCGTGCATCCCCTTCCACACACACAGTGTTTCTTCGCCTATCTCTTCACACGCAGTGACTTCCCTTCCACACACAGTGGTTCGTCTTCTATCTCTTCCACACACACAGTATCGCCGCTATCTCTTCACACGCAGTGACTTCCCTTCCACACACAGTGGTTCGTCTTCTATCTCTTCCTCACACACAGTATCGCCGCTATCTCTTCACACGCAGTGACTTCTCTTCCACACACAGTGGTTTGTATTCTATCTCCTCACACACAGTATCGCCGCTATCTCTTCACACGCAGTGACTTCCCTTCCACACACAGTGGTTCGTCTTCTATCTCCTCACACACAGTATCGCCGCTATCTCTTCACACGCAGTGACTTCCATCTATTCACACACAATGACTCTTATCTATCTCCGCTAACGCTGACTCTCCCTATCGCTATTTACTGTCTTTGGGGTCCGGCTCTCTATCTATTCTTCCCTAACATTTCCAGCTGTCTTCTTCGTGTCTCTTCGCCTCTCGCCAACAACTGCCCAGCAGCAACTCTCCAGCAGCAACTCCCCAGCAACAACTCCCCAGCAACAACTCCCCAGCAACAACTCCCCAGCAACAACTCCCCAGCAACAACTCTCCAGCAACAACTCTCCAGCAACAACTCTCCAGCAACAACTCTCCAGCAACAACTCTCCAGCAACAACTCCCCAGCAACAACTCCCCAGCAACAACTCCCCAGCAACAACTCCCCAGCAACAACTCTCCATCAACAACTCTCCAGCAACAACTCTCCAGCAACAACTCTCCAGCAACAACTCTCCAGCAACAACTCCCCAGCAACAACTCCCCAGCAACAACTCTCCAGCAACAACTCCCCAGCAACAACTCCCCAGCAACAACTCCCCAGCAACAACTCTCCAGCAACAACTCTCCAGCAACAACTCTCCAGCAGCAACTCTCCAGCAACAACTCTCCAGCAACAACTTCCCAGCAGCAACTCTCCAGCAACAACTCTCCAGCAACAACTCCCCAGCAACAACTCCCCAGCAACAACTCTCCAGCAACAACTCCCCAGCAACAACTCCCCAGCAACAACTCCCCAGCAGCAACTCTCCAGCAGCAACTCTCCAGCAACAACTCTCCAGCAACAACTCTCCAGCAACAACTCTCCAGCAACAACTCTCCAGCAACAACTCCCCAGCAACAACTCCCCAGCAACAACTCTCCAGCAACAACTCCCCAGCAACAACTCTCCAGCAACAACTCTCCAGCAGCAACTCCCCAGCAGCAACTCTCCAGCAACAACTCCCCAGCAACAACTCTCCAGCAACAACTTCCCAGCAACAACTTCCCAGCAACAACTCTCCAGCAACAACTCCCCAGCAACAACTCTCCAGCAACAACTCCCCAGCAACAACTCCCCAGCAACAACTCCCCAGCAACAACTCCCCAGCAACAACTCTCCAGCAACAACTCTCCAGCAGCAACTCTCCAGCAACAACTCTCCAACAGCAACTCTCCAGCAGCAACTCTCCAGCAACAACTCTCCAGCAACAACTCCCCAGCAACAACTCCCCAGCAACAACTCTCCAACAGCAACTCTCCAGCAGCAACTCTCCAGCAACAACTCTCCAACAGCAACTCTCCAGCAACAACTCTCCAGCAACAACTCCCCAGCAACAACTCTCCAGCAACAACTCCCCAGCAACAACTCTCCAGCAACAACTCTCCAGCAACAACTCCCCAGCAACAACTCTCCAGCAACAACTCCCCAGCAACAACTCCCCAGCAACAACTCCCCAGCAACAACTCTCCAGCAACAACTCCCCAGCAACAACTCCCCAGCAACAACTCCCCAGCAGCAACTCTCCAGCAACAACTCTCCAGCAGCAACTCCTCTCCAGCAACAACTCTCCAGCAACAACTCCCCAGCAACAACTCCCCAGCAACAACTCCCCAGCAACAACTCCCCAGCAACAACTCTCCAACAGCAACTCTCCAGCAACAACTCCCCAGCAACAACTCTCCAGCAACAACTCTCCAGCAACAACTCCCCAGCAACAACTCCCCAGCAGCAACTCTCCAGCAACAACTCTCCAGCAGCAACTCCTCTCCAGCAACAACTCTCCAGCAACAACTCCCCAGCAACAACTCCCCAGCAACAACTCTCCAGCAACAACTCCCCAGCAACAACTCTCCAGCAGCAACTCTCCAGCAACAACTCCCCAGCAACAACTCCCCAGCAACAACTCCCCAGCAGCAACTCTCCAGCAACAACTCTCCAGCAGCAACTCCCCAGCAACAACTCCCCAGCAACAACTCCCCAGCAACAACTCTCCAGCAACAACTCCCCAGCAACAACTCCCCAGCAACAACTCTCCAGCAACAACTCTCCAGCAACAACTCTCCAGCAACAACTCTCCAACAACAACTCCCCAGCAACAACTCTCCAGCAACAACTCTCCAGCAGCAACTCTCCAGCAACAACTCCTCTCCGTTCAAACCACCTCGCGTTTTATCCCCCCTCTCGCATTAGCCTTAATTAATTGTCACGTGGCTCGCCGGCCGTCTCCCGCCAGCCCGCACCTGTCCCCTCTCATCAGACGTCCAGACGCCACCGCTTAACGCTAACGGCCTCTCGACCAATCACAGCCCTCGTGCCACGACTCCCTTAATTACTTGGGGTTTAAATTTTGATTTAAAGCTTTCGTGACTGCAGTAATTCATATTCTTAGTTTTTTCGGTAAAGTCACGTTGAAGAGAAACAACAAAATAACAAAATATATATAAAACAATAAAAAAAAATTCTCACGACGTTTCGAGAATTTTTTTTTATTGTTTTATATATATTTTGTTATTTTGGTTGTTTCTCTTCAACGTGACTTTACTTGGGGTTTGTTTCGGACGCCACCCGCGACCCCCGACCACCTGTTCGACCTCGTTGTGACCCCTTCTCCTTGTCTGTCTGTATGTACTGTACGTTCGCCTTTGTCTTTGTATCTCGCTGATTAACTCACCCCCCCTACCCCCCTACCCCCCAGCGTGCGAGGAGGGCACCGACGAGGAGCCGTTCAGCTCCCCGCTGCTCGCCCTCCTGCTCCGCCGGCAGGCCGCCGCCGAGCTGGAGGAGGCCCGGCGGCGCCGGCGGCGGCAGCGGCGGCGGCGGCGCCGCCGCCGGCGGCAGAGCGGCAAGCGGCGTCGTCACGGCGACGATCACGACGATGACGACGATCACGACGACGACGATGATGACGATGATGACGATGACGATGATGATGACGGCGGCAGCGGCAGCAGCGGCGGCTTCGATGACGGCGACTGTGGAGATTTCGCGGCCGTTCGATCCCCGTGGGACTGCCCCCCCAACGCCAACGCCGGTGCCAACACCGCCAACACCGCCAATGCCGCGGCCGGCGAGAAGATGCTGGGTGCAGTGACGACGTCGCCGCCGCCGCCACCGCCGCCGCCGCCGCCGCCGCCGGGGTCGCCGCCGCCGCCGCCGGGGCGACCGCCCCCCGGCGAAGCGGAGAAGCCCGGACTCATCGTGGAGATCGCCAGCGACGACGGCTTCTACGTGCGCACGCGCTCCGTGCACGGTGCGTGGCGGCGGTGGTGGCGGTGGTGGTGGTGGTGATGATGTGGTGGTGATGGTGGTGATGTGGTGGTGATGTGGTGGTGATGGTTGTGGTGGTGATGGTTGTGGTGATGGTTGTGGTGGTGGTATTGGTGGTGATGGTGGTGATGGTGGTGATGGTGGTGATGGTGGCGGTGGTGATGGTTGTGGTGATGGTTGTGGTGGTGGTATTGGTGGTGGTGATGGTTGTGGTGGTGGCGGTGGTGATGGTTGTGGTGGTGGTGGTGGTGATGGTGATGGTTATGGTGGTGGCGGTGGTGGCGGTGGTGGTGGTGGTGGTGGCGGTGGTGATGGTGATGGTTGTGGTGGTGATGGTGGTGGTCGTGGTGGTAGTAATAATGGTGGTGGTGGTCGTGGTGGTGGTATTGGTGATGGTGATGGTGGTGATGGTGGTGGTGGTCGTGGTGGTGGTGGTGGTGGTGATGATGGTGGTAATGTGGTGGTGATGATGTGGTGGTGATGGTGATGATGATGATGGTGGTGGTGATGTAACCACCACAGCAACCAAATGAGGGCTCTGGACGGGTGCGAGGGGCTGGTAATCCCTCCACCTTTCAACTAGTTACCACTAAACCAGGAGTTAAACTGAAATATCTAACTAATAAGCTTGTGCTGGAGGCCCCAGAGGGGACAGGTGTCTATGACGTCTCCTGGCCAAACCCCAATTGGCGGAGCCAGGAGATTGAATCTCTACCCTCGGGGCTCCTCCAGAAACAACGAAAAGCCACTTCGTGTGGCCACGTGGAATGTTCGAACGCTCACTGCGGAGGAGAGGCTGCCACTCCTCTGTCGGGAGCTGGACCGGTACCGCCTGGATATCTGTGGCCCCTCGGGATAGAGTCATCCTGTTGGGCGACTTCAATGCCCGAGTTGGTCATGATGCTGGCACCTGGTCTGGAGTGATTGGAGGGCATGGGCCAGATCAGCTCAGTAACAACGGTAGGAGGCCACTAGATTTTTTTGGAGGGTAGCGTTTGTGCACAGACTGCCCTATATGACATCATAGTAACAGTCTGGACCACTGAACGGGTTCCGCAGGATTGGAATGATGCCCTGGTGGTCCCCCTCTTTAAGAAGGGGGACCGCACAGACTGTAACAACTACAGGGGCATCTCACTCCTCAGTGTGCCGGGAAAGGTCCTGGCAAGGATTATTCAACATCGCCTTGCCAGGCACGCTGAGGAGAGGCTTGCGGAGCCCCAATGCGGTTTCAGGAAAGGGCGGTCCTGCATAGATGCCATATTTTCTGTCTGTCTGCTACAGCAGAGGTATAGGGAATTCCAACAAGACCTACATCTCTGCTTTATTGACCTGGTCAAAGCCTATGATACCATCAGTAGGCCTGGGCTCTGGGTTGTTCTTCGTGTTTTTGGAGTCCCTGACCCTCTGCTCACGATAATTAAGGACCTTCATGATGGTGAGCGGGCAAGGGGAAAACTACGTGGCCAGGAGTTAAAGCCATTCCCTGCACACCTTGGGGTGCGACAGGGATGTCCTCTGGCTCCCACATTATTTAACATCTATTTTGACCACGTAGTTCGTGAAGCATTCAATAGCTGTACCGGAGGAATTTCCATCTCGTACAGATGCAATGGGAGGCTTATCGATGCCCGGGTGCGGTCAAGGGATGGCTCCCTATTGCTCAACCACGTTATGTATGCCGATGATCGGGTAATTGCCGCTCATTCAGAGGAGGAGTTGGAGGCACTGCTGCTGAACCTGGAGCGTGCCACTAAAAGGTGGGGCCTTACCATCAGCCCCACCAAAACTAACGGTCATTCTCTAGGCTTGCGAAACGTGGACCCCCCTAATGGAACATCTTCGCGGTTAGAAACATTTAGGCAGGCCTGCCTACGATCCATCCTGGGTTTAACCAGACTGGATTGTGTGAGGAGATCACAAATCCTTGAAAGATCTGGGCACGGTCCCAACGGTGAGCTCCTCCGGCAGGCAAGGCTGCGTTGGCTGGGTCATGTAGCCCGCATGCCCAGCCACCGCATGCCGAAACAGCTTTTGTTCGGCCGGGTTGAGGGGGCCAAGCGGGCGCGGCACGGGCTAGAGAAGAGATGGAGTGATGTGGTACAGGAGGATGTGGAGCTGAGTGGACTAGCCGATGACCTGTACCAGCGGTGTCAAGATCGGCCTCTGTGGAGGAGGCTCGTGAAGGACGCTACTGGGCAGTTGGAGGCAGTCGCCCTCCAACAACAACGGAAGGTGGAGGAGCGACGCTCACAACAACGAGCGGAGCGCCGGGTGGCTAAAGCACAGCAGGTTGGCACAGTAGGGGGCACAGGTGGTGCATCAGCCAGTCATCTCAGTTAGTCGACCCGAGGCACCTGGGTCTGCTCCGTGACCTGCTGCCAGCGGGCGTTCGACACTTCACGTGGCCTCAAGGTGCACATGGCCTGGCACAAGCGTCGTGGTGACGTCACCGCCACTTAGTGGCGAATGGCGATTGTTGTTGTTGTTGGTTATAGTGGTGGTGGTGGTGATGGTGGTGATGGTGATGTTGATGGTAGTGATGGTGATGTTGATGGTAGTGATGATCGTGATGGTAGTGATGATGATGGTGATGTTGATGGTAGTGATGATGATGTTGATGGTAGTGATGATGATGGTGATGTTGATGGTAGTGATGATGATGTTGATGGTAGTGATGATGATGTTGATGGTAGTGATGATGATGATGTTGATGGTAGTGATGATGATGATGTTGATGGTAGTGATGATGATGTTGATGGTAGTGATGTTGATGGTAGTGATGATGATGTTTATGGTGTTGATGATGGTGATGTTGATGGTAGTGATGATGATGTTGATGGTAGTGTTGATGATGGTGATGTTGATGGTAATGATGATGATGTTGATGGTAGTGATGATGATGTTTATGGTAGTGATGTTGATGGTAGTGATGATGATGTTGATGGTAGTGATGATGATGTTGATGGTAGTGATGATGATGTTGATGGTAGTGATGATGATGTTGATGGTAGTGATAATGATGTTGATGGTAGTGATGATGATGATGGTGATGTTGTTGGTAGTGATGATGTTGATGTTGATGGTAGTGATGATGATGGTGATGTTGTTGGTAGTGATGATGATGATGGTGGCGATGACATCTCCAACCCCCCCCCGCCCGCACACGCGAACTCACAGAAGCGTGGAAGGCGGTGACTGACGGAGTTCTGCAGCTCAGAAAGAAGTCTTGGCAGCGACCTGTCATCTTTGACGGTAAACCGCGGTCATGGACACGTCCCTGCTGTGTCTGTGTGACTGCCCCCCTAGTGGAGCATCTTCGCCGGTTAGAAACATTCAGGCCGGCCTGCCTACGATCCATCCTGGGTTTAAAAGCTCTGGGCAAGGTCCCATCGGTGAGCTCCTCCGGCAGGCAAGGCTGCGTTGGCTGGTTCATGTAGCCCGCATGCCCAGCCACCGCATGCCGAAACAGCTTTTGTTCGGCCGGATCGAGGGGGCTAGACACAATTTCAACCGAGAGGATGGTTTCAAATTAAGCAACCATTGGAAAGATGTTCTAAACCGAACTAAACATTAAACTAATTTTCAATGGTACAGTATATTTATCAAGTATTGGTACCTCAAACTTTCGCAGCTCTTATAAATTCCCTTTTCACACCATCGATAGGTAAACTCCCCCTCCCCCCGCGCCAAACGGCAAGTCCACCGGCACGTACACCACCTCTTTCCTAAAATCGGCCAATCAAATGCTAATTTTTATTACTTATTTCTTCGTCAGGACACCTTGTTTGCTCGCACACAGCTTAAAGGTCCGCGGTCTGAGCGTGGTTGTGTTTCGCTAAATTATCCTGTTTGATTTGTACCAGGTGCCTCGGTGAATGTGTATGCTCTGACTTTAACACAGCTATTTCTGTGACCAGTCACAAGCTAATCACTCAGCTATTTCAATGCTAAATTCTATGCTAATTCCTTTGTCAAGGGGTGCCTCTGCGGATGTGTATACTTTAACTTAGCTATTTCAATGAGCCATTTCAATGCTAAATTCTATGCTAATTCCTTTGTCAAGGGGTGCCTCTGTGGATGTGTATGCTTTAACTTAGCTATTTCCATGCTAAATTCTATGCTAATTCCTTTGTCAAGGGGTGCCTCTGCGGATGTGTATACTTTAGCTTAGCTATTTCAATGAGCTATTTCAATGCTAAATTCTATGCTAATTCCTTTGTCAAGGCGCTTTGTTTCTTCTCACACAGCTTAAAGGTCGTGATCTGAGCGTGGCTTCTCCCACTCCAGCGCTGTCCTACCAGACAGTCTCGTCCCTTCACCTGACGAAGGCTGCTTGTGTTGTGTCCGAAACGTCGTGATTTTTGTTGTTTTATTTTTTACCTACGTGACTTTACCCAATAGAACCAAAGAGTACACGGGGGATCTTTGTCTTAGGTGCTCGTCGCTCACAGCACTTGCCCCTGCAGTCTGTCGAGGCTACACGGGGGATCTTTGTCTTAGCTGCTACTCGCTAACAGCACTTGCCCCTACAGTCTGTCAAGGCTACACGGGGGATCTTTGTCTTAGCTGCTGCTACTCGCTCACAGCACTTGCCCCTACATTCTGTCGAGGCTACACGGGGGATCTTTGTCTTAGCTGCTGCTACTCGCTCACAGCACTTGCCCCTGCAGTCTGTCAAGGCTACACGGGGGATCTTTGTCTTAGCTGCTGCTACTCGCTCACAGCACTTGCCCCTGCAGTGTGTTAAGGCTACACGGGGGATCTTTGTCTTAGCTGCTGCTACTCGCTCACAGCACTTGCCCCTGCAGTCTGTTAAGGCTACACGGGGGATCTTTGTCTTAGGTGTTCGCTAACAGCACTTGCCTCTGCAGTGTGTCGAGGCTACACGGGGGATCTTTGTCTTAGCTGCTGCTACTCGCTCACAGCACTTGCCCCTACAGTCTGTCGAGGCTACACGGGGGGTCTTTGTCTTAGCTGCTACTCGCTCACAGCACTTGCCCCTGCAGTCTGTCAAGGCTACACGGGGGGTCTTTGTCTTAGCTGCTACTCGCTCACAGCACTTGCCCCTACATTCTGTCAAGGCTACACGGGGGATCTTTGTCTTAGCTGCTACTCGCTCACAGCACTTGCCCCTCCAGTCTGTCAAGGCTACACGGGGGATCTTTGTCTTAGCTGCTGCTACTCGCTCACAGCACTTGCCCCTGCAGTCTGTTAAGCCTACACGGGGGATCTTTGTCTTAGCTGCTACTCGCTCACAGCACTTGCCCCTACATTCTGTCAAGGCTACACGGGGGATCTTTGTCTTAGCTACTCGCTAACAGCACTTGCCCCTACAGTCTGTCAGGGCTACACGGGGGATCTTTGTCTTAGCTGCTGCTACTCCCTCACAGCACTTGCCCCTGCAGTCTGTCAGGGCTACACGGGGGATCTTTGTCTTAGCAGCTACTCGCTCACAGCACTTGCCCCTACAGTCTGTCGAGGCTACACGGGGGGATCTTTGTCTTAGCTGCTGCTACTCCCTCACAGCACTTGCCCCTGCAGTCTGTCAAGGCTACACGGGGGATCTTTGTCTTAGGTGCTGCTACTCGCTCACAGCACTTGCCCCTACAGTGTGTCGAGGCTACACGGGGGATCTTTGTCTTAGCTGCTACTCGCTCACAGCACTTGCCCCTACAGTCTGTCGAGGCTACACGGGGGATCTTTGTCTTAGCTGCTCGTCGCTAACAGCACTTGCCCCTAGTCTGTCAGGGCTACACGGGGGATCTTTGTCTTAGCTGCTACTCGCTCACAGCACTTGCCCCTACAGTCTGTCGAGGCTACACGGGGGATCTTTGTCTTAGCTGCTACTCGCTAACAGCACTTGCCCCTACAGTCTGTTAAGCCTACACGGGGGATCTTTGTCTTAGCAGCTACTCGCTCACAGCACTTGCCCCTACAGTCTGTCAAGGCTACACGGGGGGTCTTTGTCTTAGCTGCTGCTACTCCCTCACAGCACTTGCCCCTACAGTCTGTCAAGGCTACACGGGGGGATCTTTGTCTTAGCTGCTGCTACTCCCTCACAGCACTTGCCCCTGCAGTCTGTCAAGGCTACACGGGGGATCTTTGTCTTAGCTACTCGCTAACAGCACTTGCCCCTACAGTGTGTCGAGGCTACACGGGGGATCTTTGTCTTAGGTGCTACTCGCTCACAGCACTTGCCCCTACAGTGTGTCGAGGCTACACGGGGGATCTTTGTCTTAGGTGCTCGCTAACAGCACTTGCCCCTACAGTCTGTCAAGGTTACACGGGGGATCTTTGTCTTAGCTGCTGCTACTCGCTTACAGCACTTGCCCCTACAGTCTGTTAAGGCTACACGGGGGGTCTTTGTCTTAGCTACTCGCTCACAGCACTTGCCCCTACAGTCTGTCGAGGCTACACGGGGGATCTTTGTCTTAGCTGCTGCTACTCGCTCACAGCACTTGCCCCTGCAGTGTGTCGAGGCTACACGGGGGATCTTTGTCTTAGCTGCTGCTACTCGCTCACAGCACTTGCCCCTACAGTCTGTTAAGCCTACACGGGGGATCTTTGTCTTAGCAGCTACTCGCTCACAGCACTTGCCCCTACAGTCTGTCAAGGCTACACGGGGGATCTTTGTCTTAGCTACTCGCTAACAGCACTTGCCCCTACAGTCTGTCAGGGCTACACGGGGGATCTTTGTCTTAGCTGCTGCTACTCCCTCACAGCACTTGCCCCTGCAGTCTGTCAGGGCTACACGGGGGATCTTTGTCTTAGCAGCTACTCGCTCACAGCACTTGCCCCTGCAGTGTGTCAAGGCTACACGGGGGATCTTTGTCTTAGCTGCTGCTACTCGCTCACAGCACTTGCCCCTACATTCTGTCAAGGCTACACGGGGGATCTTTGTCTTAGCTGCTGCTACTCGCTCACAGCACTTGCCCCTGCAGTCTGTCAAGGCTACACGGGGGATCTTTGTCTTAGCAGCTACTCGCTCACAGCACTTGCCCCTACAGTCTGTCAAGGCTACACGGGGGATCTTTGTCTTAGCTGCTGCTACTCGCTCACAGCACTTGCCCCTACAGTCTGTCAAGGCTACACGGGGGATCTTTGTCTTAGCTGCTGCTACTCGCTCACAGCACTTGCCCCTACAGTCTGTTAAGCCTACACGGGGGATCTTTGTCTTAGCTGCTGCTACTCGCTCACAGCACTTGCCCCTACATTCTGTCAAGGCTACACGGGGGATCTTTGTCTTAGCTGCTGCTACTCGCTCACAGCACTTGCCCCTGCAGTGTGTCAAGGCTACACGGGGGATCTTTGTCTTAGCGGCTACTCGCTCACAGCACTTGCCCCTGCAGTCTGTTAAGGCTACACGGGGGATCTTTGTCTTAGCTGCTGCTACTCGCTCACAGCACTTGCCCCTCCAGTCTGTCGAGGCTACACGGGGGATCTTTGTCTTAGCTGCTGCTACTCGCTCACAGCACTTGCCCCTGCAGTCTGTCAGGGCTACACGGGGGATCTTTGTCTTAGCAGCTACTCGCTCACAGCACTTGCCCCTGCAGTCTGTCAGGGCTACACGGGGGATCTTTGTCTTAGCAGCTACTCGCTCACAGCACTTGCCCCTGCAGTCTGTCAGGGCTACACGGGGGATCTTTGTCTTAGCAGCTACTCGCTCACAGCACTTGCCCCTGCAGTGTGTCAAGGCTACACGGGGGATCTTTGTCTTAGGTGCTACTCGCTAACAGCACTTGCCCCTACAGTGTGTCAAGGCTACACGGGGGATCTTTGTCTTAGCTACTCGCTCACAGCACTTGCCCCTGCAGAGTGTCGAGGCTACACGGGGGATCTTTGTCTTAGCTGCTACTCGCTCACAGCACTTGCCCCTGCAGTGTGTCGAGGCTACACGGGGGATCTTTATCTTAGCTGCTGCTACTCGCTCACGGCACTTGCCCCTGCAGTCTGTTAAGGCTACACGGGGGATCTTTGTCTTAGCTGCTACTCGCTCACAGCACTTGCCCCTGCAGTCTGTTAAGGCTACACGGGGGGTCTTTGTCTTAGTTGCTGCTACTCCCTCACAGCACTTGCCCCTGCAGTCTGTCAAGGCTACACGGGGGATCTTTGTCTTAGCTGCTGCTACTCGCTCACAGCACTTGCCCCTGCAGTCTGTCAAGGCTACACGGGGGATCTTTGTCTTAGGTGTTCGCTCACAGCACTTGCCTCTGCAGAGTGTCGAGGCTACACGGGGGGTCTTTGTCTTAGCTACTCGCTCACAGCACTTGCCCCTGCAGTCTGTTAAGGCTACACGGGGGGATCTTTGTCTTAGCTGCTGCTACTCCCTCACAGCACTTGCCCCTACAGTCTGTCGAGGCTACACGGGGGGTCTTTGCCTGTGTGTGTGTGTAGGCCTGTCGGGTGTCCGCTTGCTGGGCTTGTGTCATGACTCGGTCTGCTTCCTGCTGGAGCAGCTCCCGGGCTCTGCTCGCTGCACGGGCCACAACTTCCGCTTCCACCGCCGCTGCGGCGGCCAAGCCGCCCTGCCGCTCAACGCCAGCGGCACCGCTCGCACGGAGCCCTTCAGCAGGTGCCCGGCTGGGTGCACGCACGCACACACACACACAGACACACAGACACACACACACAGACACACACACACAGATACTAACACACACAGATACTAACACACACAGACAGATACTAACACACAGACACAGACACACACACAGATACTAACACACACACACACAGATACTAACACACAGACACACACACACAGATACTAACACACACACAGACACACACACACAGATACTAACACACACACACAGACACACACACACACAGATACTAACACACACACAGACACACAGACACACACACACAGATACTAACACACACACACAGACACACAGACAGACACACACAGACACACACACACAGACACACACAGACACACACACACACAGATACTAACACAGACACACACACAGATACTAACACACACAGACACACACACAGATACTAACACACACAGATACACACACAGACACACACAGACAGACACACACACAGATACACACACACAGACACACACACACAGACACACACAGATACACACACACACGCAGACACACGCACACACAGATACTAACACACACACACAGACACACACACACAGACACACACACACACAGATACTAACACACACACACAGACACACACACACAGACACACACACACACACGCACACACGCGCACACACACGCGCACACACACACAGATACACACACACACGCAGACACACGCACACACAGATACACACAGACACACAGACACACACACACACGCGCAGACACACACACACATGCAGACAAACACACAGACACAGATACACACACACACGCGCAGACACACACACAGACACACACACGCGCAGACACACGCACACACACGCAGACACACACGCACACACACACGCACGCAGATACACGCACACACACACACACACGCAGACACACGCAGATACATACACACGCAGACACGCACACACACACACGCAGATACATACACACGCAGACACACACAGACACACACAGACACACACGCACACACACACAGACACACACACACGCACACAGACACACACGCAGACACACACACGCAGACACACACACACACGCACACACGCGCGCAGACACACGCAGATACACACGCTCAGACAGACACACAGACACATACACGCAGACACACGTTCAACTTCCTGGTGCCTCTGTGTGTGTCTCTGTGTGTGTCTGTGTGTGTGACTGTGTGTGTGTCTGTGTGTGTGTGTGTGTCTGTGTGTGTCTGTGTGTGTCTCTCTGTGTGTCTCTCTGTGTGTTTGTGTGTCTCTCTGTGTGTGTCTGTGTGTGTGTGTCTGTGTGTGTGTGTCTGTGTGTGTGTGTGTCTGTGTGTGTGTCTCTCTGTGTGTTTGTGTGTGTTTGTGTGTGTGACTGTGTGTGTGTGTGACTGTGTGTGTCTGTGTGTCTGTGTGTGTGTGTGTGTGACTGTGTGTGTCTGTGTGTGTGTGACTGTGTGTGTGTGTGTCTGTGTGTGTCTGTGTGTGTATCTGTGTGTATCTGTGTGTGTCTGTGTGTCTGTGTGTGTGACTGTGTGTGTGTCTGTGTGTGTCTGTGTGTGTGTCTGTGTCTGACTGTGTGTCTCTGTGTGTGTCTGTGTGTGTGACTGTGTGTGTGACTGTGTGTGTGTGTCTGTGTGTGTCTGTGTGTGTGTCTGTGTCTGACTGTGTGTCTCTGTGTGTGTCTGTGTGTGTGACTGTGTGTGTGTCTGTGTCTGACTGTGTGTCTCTGTGTGTGTCTGTGTGTGTGTGTGTCTGTGTGTGTGTGTCTGTGTGTGTGTGTGTGTCTGTGTGTGTGTCTCTCTGTGTGTTTGTGTGTGTTTGTGTGTCTGACTGTGTGTGTGTGTGACTGTGTGTGTCTGTGTGTGACTGTGTGTGTGTCTGTGTGTGTCTGTGTGTGTGTCTGTGTGTGACTGTGTGTGTCTGTGTGACTGTGTGTGTCTGTGTGTGTGACTGTGTGTGACTGTGTCTGTTTCTGTGTGTGTGTCTGTGTGTGTGTCTGTGTGTGACTGTGTGTGTGTGTGACTGTGTGTCTGTGTGTGTGTGTGACTGTGTGTCTGTGTGTGTCTGTGTGTGTGTCTGTGTGTGTGTCTGTGTGTGTGTCTGTGTGTGTCTGTGTGACTGTGTGTCTGTGTGTGTCTGTGTGACTGTGTGTGACTGTGTGTGTGTGACTGTGTGTCTGTGTGTGTGTGTCTGTGTGTGTGTCTGTGTGTGTGTCTGTGTGTGTGTCTGTGTGTGTGTCTGTGTGTGTGTCTGTGTGTGTGTGACTGTGTGTGTCTGTGTGTGTGTGACTGTGTCTGTGTGTGACTGTGTGTGACTGTGTGTGTGACTGTGTCTGTGTGTGTGTGTCTGTGTGTGTGTGTGTGAGACTGTGTCTGTGTGTGACTGTGTGTGTGTGTGTGACTGACTGTGTGTCTGTGTGTGTCTAGTCGTGTCCCAGTGGACATGTTCAACTTCCTGGTGTCACGTCACCGCCAGCGTCCGGAGGCTCGGCCTCACGAAGACGAAGACCTGGACGAGATGCAGCTCAAGTCGGCTCGGTAGACACCGCACATAGACACAGTACATAGACACAGCACATAGACACAGTACATAGACACAGCACATAGACACAGTACATAGACACAGCACATAGACACAGCACATAGACACATCACATAGAGACAGTACATAGACACAGCACATAGACACCGTACATAGACACAGCACATAGACAGTACATAGACACAGTACATAGACACAGTACATAGACACAGCACATAGACAGTACATAGATACAGCACATAGACACAGCACATAGACACAGCACATAGACACAGCACATAGACACAGCACATAGACACAGCACATAGACACAGCACATTGACACAGTACATAGACACAGCACATAGACACAGCACATAGACACAGCACATAGACACAGCACATAGACACAGCACATAGACACATCACATAGAGACAGTACATAGACACAGCACATAGACACAGCACATAGACACAGTACATAGACACAGCACATAGACAGTACATAGACACAGTACATAGACACAGCACATAGACACAGTACATAGACACAGTACATAGACACAGCACATAGACAGTACATAGACACAGCACATAGACACAGCACATAGACACAGCACATAGACACAGCACATAGACACAGTACATAGACACAGTACATAGACACAGCACATAGACACAGTACATAGACACAGTACATAGACACAGCACATAGACAGTACATAGATACAGCACATAGACACAGCACATAGACACAGCACATAGACACAGCACATAGACACAGCACATAGACACAGCACATAGACAGTACATAGACACAGTACATAGACACAGTACATAGACACAGCACATAGACACCGTACATAGACACAGCACATAGACAGTACATAGACACAGCACATAGACACAGCACATAGACACAGTACATAGACACAGCACATAGACACAGCACATAGACACAGCACATAGACACAGCACATAGACACAGTACATAGACACAGCACATAGACACAGTACATAGACACAGTACATAGACACAGCACATAGACACAGTACATAGACACAGTACATAGACACAGTACATATACACCGCACATAGACACCGCACATAGACACAGTACATAGACACAGTACATAGACACAGTACATAGACACAGCACATAGACAGTACATAGATACAGCACATAGACACCGCACATAGACACAGTACATAGACACAGTACATAGACACAGTACATAGACACAGCACATAGACAGTACATAGATACAGCACATAGACACAGCACATAGACACAGCACATAGACACAGCACATAGACACAGCACATAGAGACAGTACATAGACACAGCACATAGACACAGCACATAGACAGTACATAGACACAGCACATAGACACAGTACATAGACACAGCACATAGACAGTACATAGACACAGTACATAGACACAGCACATAGACACAGCACATAGACACAGCACATAGACACAGTACATGAGGAGGAGGTCACGGGACAGACCCAGCAGGTGCCATGGGTTGTACTGCTGTGCCAGGCTAGGTGCATGAGGAGGTCACGTGACAGACCCAGCAGGTGCCATGGGTTGTACTGCTATGCCAGGCTAGGTGCATGAGGAGGTCACGTGACAGACCCAGCAGGTGCCATGGGTTGTACTGCTATGCCAGGCTAGGTGCATGAGGAGGTCACGTGACAGACCCAGCAGGTGCCATGGGTTGTACTGCTGTGCCAGGCTAGGTGCATGAGGAGGTCACGTGACAGACCCAGCAGGTGCCATGGGTTGTACTGCTGTGCCAGGCTAGGTGCATGAGGAGGTCACGTGACAGACCCAGCAGGTGTCGTGTGTTCTACTGCTGTGCCAGGCTAGGTGCATGAGGAAGTCACGGGACAGACCCAGCAGGTGTCGTGTGTTCTACTGCTGTGCCAGGCTAGGTGCATGAGGAAGTCACGTGACAGACCCAGCAGGTGCCATGGGTTGTACTGCTGTGCCAGGCTAGGTGCATGAGGAGGAGGTCTGTCCTCTGCTGACGCGTGCGTCACATGTCCCGTGTGTCACGTGTGTGTGACATGTGACGTGTGTGTCACACGTGTCACATGTCACGTGTGTCACGTGTGTCACGTGTGTGTGACATGTGACGTGTGTGTCACGTGTGTCACGTGTGTGTGACATGTGACGTGTGTGTCGCGTGTGACGTGTGTGTCACGTGTCACGTGTGTCACGTGTGTCACGTGTGACGTGTGTCACGTGTGTCACGTGTGTCACGTGTGTCACGTGTGTCACGTGTGTCACGTGTGTAGGCGTGCCACGTGTGTGACGTGTGTGTGACGTGTGTCACGTGTGTCACGTGTGTCACGTGTCGCGTGTGTCACGTGTCACGTGTCACGTCCCGTGTGTCACGTGTGTGTCACGTGTGTCACGTGTGTCACGTGTGTCACGTGTGTCACTGTGTGTAGGCGTGCCACATGTCCCGTGTCCCGTGTGTGTCGCATGTGACGTGTGTGTCACATGTCACGTGTGTCACGTGTGTCACGTGTGTCACGTGTGTTACGTGTGACGTGTGTCACGTGTGTTACGTGTGACGTGTGTCACGTGTGTTACGTGTGACGTGTGTCACGTGTGTTACGTGTGACGTGTGTCACGTGTGTTACGTGTGACGTGTGTCACGTGTGTCACGTGTCACTGTGTGTAGGCGTGCCACGAGTCTCGATCTGCCCATGGCCATGAGGTTCCGGCACCTCAAGAAGACTTCCAAGGAAGCGGTGGGCGTCTACAGGTGAAGCTGTGTGTAGTGAGTGTGTGTCACTGTGTGTGTGTAGTGTGTGTAGTGTGTGTCACTGTGTGTAGTGTGTGTGTGTCACTGTGTGTGTGTCACTGTGTGTAGTGTGTGTGTCACTGTGTGTGTGTGTAGTGTGTGGGCGTCTACAGGTGAAGCTGTGTGTAGTGAGTGTGTGTAGTGTATGTATGTGTGTATGTAGTGTGTGTGTGTCACTGTGTGTGTGTGTAGTGTATGTCACTGTGTATGTGTCACTGTGTGTAGTGTGTGTGTCGGCGTCTACAGGTGAAGCTGTGTGTAGTCAGTGTGTGTCACTGTGTGTGTGTAGTGTGTGGTGTGTGTCACTGTGTGTCTGTGTGTAGTGTGTGTGGGAGTCTACAGGTGAAGCTGTGTATAGTGAGTGTATGTAGTGTGTGTCTGTCTGTGTGTGTGTGTCTGTGTGTGTGTGTGTCTGTGTATGTCTGTGTGTAGTGTGTGTGTGTGTCTGTGTGGGTGTGTGTCTGTGTGTGTCTGTGTGTCTGTGTGTAATGCTGGTGGTGGTGATGGTGCAGGTCCGGTATCCATGGGCGTGGGCTATTCTGCAAGCGTCCCATCGAGGCGGGCGAGATGGTGGTGGAGTACTCCGGCGTCGTCATCCGCTCCGTGCTAGCGGACAAACGCGAGAAATACTACGATGGGAAGGTGACCGCCAACACCAACACCACCACCAAGACCACCACCACTAACATCACCAACACTAACATCACCACCACCACTAAAACCACCACCACTAACACCACCACCACTAACATCACCACCACTAACATCACCAACACTAACACCACCACCACCACTAACATCACCACCACTAACACCACCACCACTAACATCACCACGACTAACATCACCACCACTAACACCACCACCACTAACACCACCACCACTAACATCACCACCACTAACATCACCACCACTAACATCACCACCACTAACACCACCACCACTAACATCACCACCACTAACATCACCACCACTAACGCCACCACCACCACCACTAACATCACCATCACCACCACCAACACCACTAACACCACCACCACTAGCATCACCACCACTAACACCACCACCACTAACACCACCACCACTAACATCACCACCACTAACATCACCACCACTAACATCACCACAACTAACACCACTAACATCACCACCACTAACATCACCACCACTAACTACACCACCACCACCACTAACATCACCATCACCACCACCAACACCACTAACATCACCACCACTAACACCACCACCATTAACATCACCACCACTAACACTACCACCACCACTAACATCACCAACACTAACATCACCACTAACACCACCACCACTAACATCACCACCACTAACATCACCACCACTAACGCCACCACCACCACTAACATCACCACCACTAACACCACCACCATTAACATCACCACCACTAACACTACCAACACTACCACCACCACTAACATCACCAACACTAACATCACCACTAACACCACCACCACCACTAACACCACCACCACTAACATCACCACCACTAACACCACCACCACTATCATCACCACCACTAACATCACCACCACTAACATCACCACCACTAACACCACCACCACTAACATCACCACCACTAACACCACCACTAACATCACCACCACTAACACCACCACCACCACTAACATCACCACCATCACCACCACCACTAACACCACCACCACCACCACTAACATCACCACCACTAACATCACCACCACTAATATCACCACTAACACCACCACCACTAACATCACCACCACTAACTACACCACCACCACTAACATCACCACCATCACCACCACCAACACCACTAACATCACCACCACTAACACCACCACCATTAACATCATCACCACTACCAACACTACCACCACCACTAACATCACCAACACTAACATCACCACTAACACCACCACTAACATCACCACCACTAACATCACCACCACTAACATCACCACCACTAACATCACCACCACTAACACCACCACCATTAACATCACCAACACTACCACCACCACTAACATCACCACCACCACTAACATCACCACCACCACTAACATCACCACCACTAACACCACCACCACTAACCCCCCCACTACCACCACAGGGTATAGGCTGCTATTAACCCCACTACCACCACCGAGTATAGGCTGTTACTAACCCCACTACCACACAGGGTATAGGCTGCTACTAACCCCACTATCCCCCCCACTACTCCCACAGGGTATAGGCTGCTACTAACCCCACTATCCGCCACCACAGGGTATAGGCTGCTACTAACCCCACTATCTCCCCCACTATCTCGCCCCACACACCACAGGGTATAGGCTGCTACTAACCCCGCTACCCCACACCACAGGGTATAGGCTGCTACTAACCCCACTATCCCCCACCACAGGGTATAGGCTGCTACTAACCCCACTATCCCCCCCACTACTCCCACAGGGTATAGGCTGCTACTAACCCCACTATCCCCCCCACCACACCACAGGGTATAGGCTGCTACTAACCCCACTATCCCCCCCACCACACCACAGGGTATAGGCTGCTACTAACCCCACTATCTCCCCCACACACCACAGGGTATAGGCTGCTACTAACCCCACTACCACTACAGTGTATAGGCTGCTACTAACCCCACTATCCCCCACTACTCCCACAGGGTATAGGCTGCTACTAACCCACTACTCCCACAGGGTATAGGCTGCTACTAACCCCACTATCCCCCACAGGGTATAGGCTGCTACTAACCCCACTATCCCCCACTACTCCCACAGGGTATAGGCTGCTACTAACCCACTACTCCCACAGGGTATAGGCTGCTACTAACCCCACTACTCCCACAGGGTATAGGCTGCTACTAACCCCACTATCTCTCCCCCACTATCCACACCACAGGGTATAGGCTGCTACTAACCCACTACTCCCACAGGGTATAGGCTGCTACTAACCCCACTATCCCCCACAGGGTATAGGCTGCTACTAACCCCACTATCCCCCACTACTCCCACAGGGTATAGGCTGCTACTAACCCACTACTCCCACAGGGTATAGGCTGCTACTAACCCCACTACTCCCACAGGTTATAGGCTGCTACTAACCCCACACTATCCTCCCCCACTATCCACACCACAGGGTATAGGCTGCTACTAACCCCACTATCTCTCCCCCACTACTCCCACAGGGTATAGGCTGCTACTAACCCCACTATCCCCACCACAGGGTATAGGCTGCTACTAACCCCACTATCTCCCCCACACTCTCCCCCACACACCACAGGGTATAGGCTGCTACTAACCCCACTATCTCCCCCCCACACACCACAGGGTATAGGCTGCTACTAACCCCACTATCTCCCCCACACTATCTCTCCCCCACACACCACAGGGTATAGGCTGCTACTAACCCCACTATCTCCCCCACACACCACAGGGTATAGGCTGCTACTAACCCCACTATCTCCCCCACACACCACAGGGTATAGGCTGCTACTAACCCCACTAACCCCACTATATCCCCCACTATCCCCCCCCACAGGGTATAGGCTGCTACTAACCCCACTATCTCCCCCACACTATCCCCCCCACAGGGGATAGGCTGCTACTAACCCCACTATCTCCCCCACACTATCCCCCACTACTCCCACAGGGTATAGGCTGCTACTAACCCCACTATCCCCCACCACAGGGTATAGGCTGCTACTAACCCCACTACTCCCACAGGGTATAGGCTGCTACTAACCCCACTATCTCCCCCACACTATCCCCACCACAGGGTATAGGCTGCTACTAACCCCACTAACCCCACTATCCCCACCACAGGGTATAGGCTGCTACTAACCCCACTATCTCCCCCCCACTACTCCCACAGGGTATAGGCTGCTACTAACCCCACTATCTCCCCCCCACACACCACAGGGTATAGGCTGCTACTAACCCCACTAACCCCACTATCCCCACCACAGGGTATAGGCTGCTACTAACCCCACTATCTCCCCCCCACTACTCCCACAGGGTATAGGCTGCTACTAACCCCACTATCTCCCCCCCACTATCTCCCCCCCACAGGGTATAGGCTGCTACTAACCCCACTATCTCCCCCCCACTATCTCCCCCCCACTACTCCCACAGGGTATTGGCTGCTACTAACCCCACTATCTCTCCCACACTATCCCCCACACACCACAGGGTATAGGCTGCTACTAACCCCACTATCTCCCCCACACCACAGGGTATTGGCTGCTACTAACCCCACTATCTCCCCCACACTATCCCCCACACACCACAGGGTATAGGCTGCTACTAACCCCACTATCTCCCCCCCACTATCTCCCCCCCACTATCTCTCCCCCCCCCACAGGGTATAGGCTGCTACATGTTCCGCATGGACGACTACGAGGTGGTGGACGCCACGATGCACGGCAACGCCGCGCGGTTCATCAACCACTCGTGCGAGCCCAACTGCTACTCGCGCGTCATCGCCGTGGACGGCGCCAAGCACATCGTGATCCTGGCCCTGCGCAGGATCTCGCGCGGCGAGGAGCTCACCTACGACTACAAGTTTCCCCTGGAGGACGCCCGCTCCAAGCTGCCCTGCGACTGTGGCGCGAGGCGATGTCGCAAGTTTCTCAATTGAGCGGCCGTGGGGTGGGTGGTGAGTGGGGTGGGTGGGTGGGTGGGGTGGGTGGGGTGGGTGGGTGGGTGGTGAATTTGAGTGAGTGCAGGTGGGTGGATGTGAAGGGTGGATGGGTGGATATGAAGGGTGGATGGGTGGATGTGAAGGTTTGACTGGAAGGGTGGATGTGAAGGGTGGATGGGTGGACAAGAAGGTTGAATGGGTGGACAGGGTGGATGTGAAGGGTGGACAGGAAGGGTGGATGGGTGGACAGGGTGGATGTGAAGGTTTGACTGGAAGGGTGGACGGGTGGACAGGGTGGATGTGAAGGTTTGACTGGAAGGGTTGACGGGTGGACAAGAAGGTTGAATGGGTGGACAGGGTGGATGTGAAGGGTGGACAGGAAGGGTGGATGGGTGGACAGGGTGGATGTGAAGGTTTGACTGGAAGGGTGGACGGGTGGACAAGAAGGTTGGATGGGTGGACAGGGTGGATGTGAAGGGTGGAAGGGTGGACAGAAAGGGTGGATGGGTGGACAGGGTGGACAAGAAGGGTGGAAGGAGGAGGATGTCCCAGAGACTTGTGGAGCGGTGGCGATGCGCCTGTTGTGGTTGTGGTTGTTGTTACCCCGACTGTGATCACACATTCACCCCACTACTACTACCCCCCCACTACCCCCCCACTAACCCCCCCACTACCCCCCCACGTGTTCATCCACCCCCGCCACCACCTCCTCCTCCCCACACGCTGTGTGAGAGCTTGGACTGTCACTGCGTTGTTCGCTGTGGTCCGGATTGATTGATTGATTGGTTGTTGTGGTGGTGGTTGTTGTTGTGGTGGTTGTTGTGGTGGTGGTTGTTGTTGTTGTTGTGGTGGTTTTCGTCGGGACCATCCCAGCGATTGTAACCGCTCTGTTCCGCTCTGTTCCGCTCCGTTCCGCTCCCTTCCGCTCCTTTCCGCTCCGTTCCGCTCCGGTCGATATGGAGAGAGATCTGCAGATCGTCGATCGAACAAGCAGAGCTTTGGCTTGAGCCATCGCTCGAACGATCGATGGCCCACCCACTCACTCACCCACTCACTCACTCACCCACTCACTCACTCACCCACTCACTCACTCACCCACTCACTCACTCACCCACTCACTCACTCACTCACCCACTCACTCACCCACTCACTCACTCACTCACCCACTCACTCACTCACCCACTCACTCACTCACCCACTCACTCACTCACCCACTCACTCACTCACTCACCCACTCACTCACTCACTCACCCACTCACTCACCCACTCACCCACTCACTCACTCACCCACCCACTCACTCACCCACTCACTCACTCACCCACCCACCCACTCACTCACCCACTCACCCACCCACTCACTCACCCACTTACTCACCCACTCACTCACCCACTCACTCACCCACTCACTCACTCACCCACCCATTCACTCACCCACCCACCCACTCACTCACTCGCTCACCCACTCACCCACTCACTCACTCGCTCACCCACCCACCCACTCACTCACTCACCCACCCGCTCACTCACCCACCCACCCACTCACCCACCCACTCACTCACTCACCCACCCACCCACCCACTCACTCACCCACCCACTCACTCACCCACTCACTCACTTACTCACCCACTCACTCACTCACCCACCCACCCACTCACCCACTCACTCACTCTCTCACTCACCCACTCCCTCACCCACCCACTCACTCACCCACCCGCTCACTCACCCACTCACTCACTCACCCACCCACCCACTCACTCACTCGCTCACTCACTCACCCATTCGCTCACCCACCCACTCACTCACCCACCCGCTCACCCACCCACTCGCTCACTCACTCACCCACCCGATCACCCACCCACCCGCCCACTCGCTCACCCACCCACTCGCTCACCCACCCACTCACTCGCTCACCTACCCGCTCACTCACCCACCCACCCACTCACCCACCCACTCGCTCACTCACTCACCCACCCACCCGATCACCCACCCACCTGCCCACTCGCTCACTCACCCGCCCACTCGCTCACCCACTCACTCACCCACTCGCTCACCCACCCACTCGCTCACCCACCCGCCCACTCGCTCACCCACCCACTCGCTCACCCACCCACTCACTCGCTCACCCACCCACTCACTCACCCACCCACTGAGTGACTTAGTGAGTGAGTGATATTTCCTTCTGCGTTTTTTTCCCCTCGCGAATTTGTTCTAATTACTAACTACTAACCCATTATTATTGATGATGATGATGATTGATCGATGTCCAGTCGATACACAGTTATGTTTCTTAGTTTATTCTGCTCGTTGTTGTTCTTACATTGCGTGGTGTATATAGACTTAGAGACAGACACAGACAGACAGATAGAGACAGACAGATAGAGAGACAGAGAGACAGAGACGAGACAGAGAGAGACAGAGAGACAGACAGATAGAGAGACAGAGAGACAGACAGAGAGAGACAGACAGAGACAGACAGAGAGACAGAGAGAGAGACAGACAGAGCGAGAGAGAGACAGAGAGAGACAGATAGAGACAGACAGAGAGACTTAGAGACAGACACAGAGAGAGAGACAGATAGAGACAGACAGAGAGACAGAGAGAGAGACTTAGAGACAGACACAGAGAGAGACAGAGAAACAGAGAGAGAGACTTAGAGACAGACAGTGAGACAGAGAGATGAGAGAGAGAGAGACAGACAGAGAGAGACTGACAGACAGAGAGAGACTGACAGACAGACTGACAGAGAGAGACAGATAGAGATGAGAGAGACAGAGAGATGAGAGACAGAGAGACAGAGTGAGGGACAGTTGAGAGAGACAGACACAGTTGAGAGAGACAGAGACACAGAGATGAGAGAGAGACAGACAGATACACTGACAGAGACTGACAGAGAGAGATAGAAACAGAGAGAGAGAGACAGACAGAGACACTGACAGACAGAGACAGACACAGAGACAGACAGAGAGATGAGAGAGAGACAGACAGAGACACTGACAGAGACAGACAGAGACAGACAGAGAGAGAGATGAGAGAGGTGGTAGGCGGGGAGGGAGGGAGGGAGAATGGAGGTAAGTCGCTGTCCCACGCCAAGTCATTGCGAGGTGGTGGAGGTGACGCTGTGGGCCAGTCTCCGTGTAATCAGCCCCTCCCCCCCGTGTGTATTATAGATGTACAGCTCGCGTGCTCACGTGCTCGCTTGCGGGATTTGGGATCGTGATTTGGGATCGTGATTTGGGATCGTGATTTGGGGTAATGATGATGACGATGATTTGGGGATCGCGCCACCGAGACTGGGGGGAGGGTTGTTTTTGTATTTAAACTGTTGTCTTATTGTGTTCATTAAAAACCAAACCCCAACACAACCACCACCACCACCACGGATTGTGGAAGGAGTTTCACTGCGTGAGTGTGTGAGTGAGTGTGAGAGTGTGAGTGAGTGTGAGTGTGTGAGAGTGTGTGAGTGAGAGAGTGTGAGTGAGTGAGTGAGAGTGTGTGAGTGTTTGTGAGTTTGAGAGTGAGTGAGAGTGTGTGTGAGAGTGTGAAAGTGTGAGTGTGTGTGAGACTTAAATATCTAACTAATAAGCTTGTGCCGGAGGCCCCGGGGGGTCCAGGCATCTATGACGTCTCCTGGCCAAACCCCAATTGGCGGAGCCAGGAGATTGAATCTCTACCCTCGGGGCTCCTCCAGAAACAACGAAAAGCCGCTTCGTGTGGCCACGTGGAATGTTCGAACGCTCACTGCGGAGGAGAGGCTGCCACTCCTCTGTCGGGAACTGGACTGGTACCGCCTGGATCTCTGAGGCATTCAGGAGGTCCGGTGGAGCGGCTCTGGCTCCTGCCACCAAGAGGGGTGAACAGTCCTCTACTCGGGGCAGCAGACTGCCAAACAACAGGGTGTGGCTCTTCTTCTGAACAAAAGAATGAAGGGGGCGTGGGAGTGTGGTAGTGAGGTGTGGGAAGTTGTAAGCCCCAGGCTACTTTGGGCTCGCCTTCCCATCAACCGGAGGCGAGGAGTGATGGTCGTGGCTACTTATGCCCCCACCGAAGACGAACATCCGTGGAGGGATGCAGGCAAAGCCGATGAGTCAGATGCCTTCTATGACCTATCACAGGTGCTGGCTAAAGTGGCCCCTCGGGATAGAGTCATCTTGTTGGGTGACTTCAATGCCCGAGTTGGTCATGATGCTGGCACCTGGTCTGGAGTGATTGGAGCGCATGGGCCGGATCAGCTCAATAACAACAGTAGGAGGCTGCTAGATTGTTGTGCAGCCCATGGGCTTGTAATTACCAACACGCTGTTCCGGCATCGGCGCATCCACACAACATCATGGTTGCATGCCGGGTCCAAGCAAGAACATCTGCTGGACTACATAGTGACGGACCAGCGGATGCGAGCCCATGTCCTTGACACCAGGACCTACCGTGGAGCTGATCTGCCCTCTGACCATCGACTAGTCATCTGTAAGATGTGCCTGCCATTCTTCCACTCTGGTGGTGGGTGTACACCCAGGACCCCATTCCAACCTAAATTGGCCTGGTCTCAGTTATCTGATGAAAGTTGCAAGCGAGAATTTCATCATCAAATTCCTCGACCACATCAATTCCATACACCCAGCCATCAGATTTACCATGAAAGTCGAAAAAGATGGCAAGCTACCTTTTTTGGATTTCCTAATAAAAAAGAGACCTGATGGTTCAATGAGCCACTCTGTCTACAGGAAAGCTACCCATACGGATGCTTATCTGAAACCAGATTCCCACCACCATCCATCACAGAAGAATTCTCTCATCAAGACTCTGTATCATAGAGCCCAATGCATATCCGACCAGGAACACATAGGCAGTGAACTCAAGCACGTACACCAAGCTCTTAAGGCTAATGGTTACTCCGACTACACAATCCGCAAAGCTATCACTCCAACCATGAAGAAGGACCCTCTTAAGGAGCCTTTCAAAACCATCACTTTACCCTACATTGCGGGGATCACAAAAAAAGATCTCCAAAATCCTGAATAAACACAAGATCCAGGTCCGATTCAACACAGTAC